TCATTTTAAAATTGGCGACTTTTGGAATACAAAATTATCTGCTGCATCAAATTGAATATGTAAGGTCTAATTATGATGGCATGGAAATGTTCTACCACATCACTTTAGAGCAGTTTTACCATTACATCAAGCTTCTTTAAAAATACGGGAAAGCGATTTATTTTCTTAATCTGGCGGTTAATAAAAATGGTCACCAGCAAAATATACTGTATCTTCAGATGATAAAGCTTTTTATTCTAATCTATCTATACGATGTTTTTCTGAGATTATAGATATATACAAATACCAACGTGCAACTACATGAACAATGAGCAGGTTATTCAGAAATAAAATTTGCAAGAGCAACGTACCTTTTGTTCCTTACTGCTGCAGCATAGAGATTCGCTGAAGGCCAAGTATAGTTCACATAACTCCAAGACCATTGAACTTGGAATTCCTGAACATTGTCGAAATAATTTTTATAGTGAACTGCATCCACAAACTGAAGAATCAAAGGGAGAATCAACCACGCACACATTTTCTTATGAAGACTGGCTGACAAGTGCTGCAAAATCGAACGTTGACCGATATATGAACATTACCGGAATTACGAAAAAAAGATACTACTCAAAAGTAGTATTACTTTTTTATATCTATGATGGTGAAGCGTGTCGGATATATTGCGAAATGTATTTAAAGTTTCTCGCAGCAGATAGAGACCAATATTGACTCCCTATTATACTTGCATTCTTAGACAAATAAGCATATTGTTTATAGATAAATTTTACTTCACCAATCAAGAGGGTACCTAGATTCACGAAAGAAGAGATGTGTTTGGAAATGTAGATGAAAATTCACTAGACTATGATTGTTTCAAGTCTCTATATACTTGTATCTGAAGGTGTTATGAAAATTTGTTTTTCATTTTCATATTAATTAACCTTTGACTTTGAATAAATAAAAAGTGCAAGAGTTTTAGAAGATGCGGTTTAAGTGTGCATCTGTTTGTAATGAGTCAGATTAAACACAGCTACAGGGATACACTTATGTTGGGTTTGTTATGGTCAACAGAGCAAAGCTTCTATCGTTATTGTCAACTAAATGCTACTACTTCAGGAGATCGTCAAGCTTATTTGAACAAATCGTAGAATTATTACATTAATAACCGATAGAGGCGCTGGGACCGTAATGTTTACGTATTAACATGTCGTCCGTTAAAGTTGTTTTCCAAAGTGAACAGTCTAATAATTCATTAATAACAAGAAGAAACTGAGATTACGACAAAAATGTACATGATTACTATGCTATGCGTTTTAGTTGAATGTTTTCTGGACACCCTATTTTGGCATGTGATTAATCGATGCTCGATCATTTGTTGGATGAGTGGTAGACAATAGCGCTGCATATATTTGTAATTTTTGTCTTCATGAATGCTGTCTTTCTCGTAGCATGTATTTCGAGTTCTAAATTTCATTCCTTTATGTTTAGTGCTAAGACATATCTGATTTTTTAAGTCCCATGATGGTTGGTGCTTCTATGAAAGTACAATTTAGTTTTTTGCCAAATTCCCAGTTGGTACCACATGATTTCAGTGATCGATATATTGATAAAGTATGTACCATAGTTTATATATACTAAGTGACATATAAATCCGAACACCCAGTTCAAATGGTTTTATTTAAATAAAAGTTGGTGAATGTATTTATCTTACTGTAAATAACAAGTGAAACAATTTTCAGCCTTATCAGTTGGACATTTCGGTTTTTATACTGCTTTTTTTTAATTCACTAACGTTCTAAAAATGAATATTTCAGCCGCAGTAAAGAATCAACGTTGGCGGATTTTGGTTCTTGACATCCTTTACGATCGGTTACGATGCCTAGAGTACAGAGACCTGTACGATTTCGTCAACTTAGTGAGTTTGATATGGGCCGTATAGTGGGACTTCGGGAAGCTGGACTTTCTTTTCGGGCAATTGCAGTTAGAGTGCAAAGAAGTGGAGACACTGTGGTTAGGTGTTGTCAGGCATGGCTTCGACAAGGCCATACGCAAAGAGCAAGGGGCACTGGACGCCGCCGTAGAACAACAGACCGTGAAGATCACCGCCTAAGATTATTGGCCTTAAGGGACCGTTTCTCCACTACCAGGTCCACTGCAAATGAATGGTTTGCAGAACACGGAAGACCTATTGGCATGCGAAGTGTTTACCGACGAATGAGAAGTTTTGGCTTGTTTTCATACCGGCCACACTGGGTCTTCCCTTTAACTCGAGAACACCGACGTAATCGCCTTGAGTGGTGCAGACAACGGTCACTCTGGGATCAGGAATGGAACAGTATTGTCTTTAGTGACGAGTCTCGATATTGTTTAGGCATGCACGATGGTCGTGCCAGGGTTAGAAGGCGACGTGGTGAAAGGAGGAATCCACAGTTTTTTGTTGAAAGACATGTTCATCACACTGTTGGAGTTATGGTTTGGGGTGCTATAGCTTATGGTTCCAGGTCACCTTTAATCTTCATCAGAGGTAACATGAACGCGCAGCGTTATATCCACGAAGTTCTAGAACCCCATCTTTTACCCTATCTTGACACCCTGGCAGGTCCAACTTTCCAACAAGATAATGCCCGACCACATGTTGCAAGAGTCACAATAGACTTCTTTCAACATAATGATGTCACATTGTTACCATGGCCACCAAGATCTCCCGACTTATCCCCAATTGAGCACGTGTGGGATATGATGGGTAGGAGATTGCTCAATTTGCAACGTCCTCCTCAGACTCTAGAAGCACTTCGAGAGGAGTTGGTGGTTGCCTGGAATGAGATACCACAGGAGGACATTGACCACCTGATCAGAAGCATGCCTAGGCGCGTTGGAGAATGCGTAGCACATCAGGGTGGATCCACACATTATTAAAGGTCAAAGGGCTTTAAAGCAGTGCAATGATTTTGAAATTATTAAGTACTTATACAAAATTTTATTAAAAAAGAACCATTTAAACTGGGTGTTCGGATTTATATGTCACTTAGTATACATCCCGCACAAGGTTCATGTATCACCTAGTTAGTTGCATCACTGATTAGCATATTCTACTTGACGACGGTAAAAGGAGTTTTCACATTCTTGGAATGTGCCTTTTTGGTCCGAAAAGAGATAAAGCATGTTCTCAGCACATACTGTTCACATCCCCTTAGTGCAAATTCTTCTGACGAACGTTCTGAGAATATGCGATTTAAGAACATTTGGAACGGAATATCTTGAAGATATCTTAATTGGATCCTAATATACTTAGAACATGCTGCAGCAATAATAGAGGTTTGCAATATATCGTCAGCCGTCTTTAGAACGTAAAATTGCTATTGGAGGACTTAGAATATGCACAGCAAGCGAGTTTGTCTAATGGGTACTACTTCCTCCTGTCCGAAGAGTTATCCGAGATGAAATAAGGTATCGTAGTGCCTTCTATGAGAATATTGTTACAGCTATCTTTGTCATCTCCGAAATAATACGTTTACATGGGAAAGGTTAGTGTCTCGTAGATGATGCCATCATCACGTTAGTCAATTGTTGAAGAGAAAAAAACTGTTACCACGCTTTTACGGCAATAATACGATTTTAATAAGAAGTAATGAACTGCATCGAGCTTATTGAATATGAAAAATATGCGAGAACAAGGAATTTATTAGATAATTGTGGTTGCACGGTGCTCAGTTCGTATCTTGATGTCAAGGCGATGTGACTGTAGGTCAATCAGCTACACATCCATTATGCATTTATGAATTATTCTAAATGATAATGAATTGGACTTCTTTAAAAAATAAAATTGTTTTAGATTTTAAAAAGGTGGCAAATTTTTTCACGGAAAGGATTTAACAGTCAATTTCAACAAAACATTCTTTATTTTCTTTTCTTCTTGCGACAACAGATCTTCCCCAAATTTTAATCAACTACACACACTAAAACGTTGAATAGCTGCAAAAGCATGCAATCGGTTGATAATTTCAAATATTTAGAAGTATTCATAGATAACCATCTATGGAATATACATGTTTAGAATTTAATAGGAAAATTCAGATACCTTATTCCGAAAATCAAATATTTCAGCAGTTGTTTAAGCGAAAAATATCTACAGATATATCTATATATATATATATATATATTATGCTTGTTCAATCACTACTAGCTTATAGAATGTTAGCATGGGGGGTCTTGAATGATTATTATAAATAGATTGAAATTACGCAGACGTGGATTTTAAAGGTTATGTTAAGCAAAAAGAAATGTTATCCCACAAAAAAACCTTTACAATGAATCTCAGCTTTCCGACTGCAGACAAATTAATTTTTATCATACAATAATATATTTATCAAAAAATCCAAAATTGTTACATTCTATCAATTCAAGGAAACATCTGCACTAATTCCTAGATTAAATAAAACAATCAGCCAAAGATCAGTCTGTCTTCTATGCTCAAAATTTTATAATGTTATTCCTGCAAACTTTAAACATATAAAATATAAGAAACGTTTAAAAATTGAATTGAAGCTACAAATCCATAAGTCTGTAGACATCAAAAACATATATGTTTTTTGATAATAAAGTCATGCAAATTTATATATTTGACTAGTATACTTATAGGAAACTTATTAATATAATTCAACTTCGGTTAAAACCCAAGCACAAGTGTACAGTTTTTTGGGTATATTACGTTTATTGGACACTGCCGTTATTATTTATTACTATTACTATTATTATATTTTTTATTAAATATGTATATTATATATATATATATATATAAACTAATTCCATATATGAAAAGTTTTTAAATTTCCTTTGTTCCAATGATCTCAGAGCTTCATATAAATGTCTGTCATGATCTTCACTTCATCGACATTCCCGAGTTAATAACGATTAGAGCAGTTATGTCTTTCGGCTAGTCGAATTTACGAATTAAATTTTGTTTTGAGTTACCGGTGGCTACGTTTTCACGTGGATTGATTAAGGAGGAAAATTATACTCACCCGTAAAATACCATAAACCATTCACCTAACCATAGACCTAGGTTTAGTATTCTCATTTTGATGGTGCAGCCTTTTGAATAAAACATTAAGCTGAGAGCATTTCCTTGAGGAGTAAATGAAATAATATTTCTGGAATTATTTATTGTGGAAATAAAATAATTATTTGAACTATGTCTATATCGGTGAGTAATACACTATTTAAGATTACATAATTAACCTTACATTTGTAGGATATGATTAAAGCTATCAAACATTTTAATTTATACAAGTACAAACACCACACGCTCTCTTCGAATATAATTTAAGTAAAAGAGAACTAGAAAGTTTGATTATAGTACTTCTGATGTTTACAGGGCTGGCTCCAGAGATTTGCGCGCCCGGCGGCACTTAGGCCCGTAACGTCAGTCGTCCCTACAATTGTAGGGCGTCTTTATGGCCTCCTTGATTGTCATAGTTTTCTACTTCTCCGTGTCAGAACTCTATTTTGAGGTTATGTCACAAACATCTATTTGCATCAAATTGTGCTTGCTTTTGAGTTATATCATGTTTTATCAGCCTGAAATTTCCTACAATTTAAAAGAAAACATATCTTCACAATAGGAGAGCGCTGACGCTGACACGGGACAAGTTTTGAAGGAGAGAAAGGAGTATGACAATGAAGGAGACCTAAGGCCCGTATCGTCAGTCGTCCCTACAATTGAAGGGCGCGTTTATGGCCTCCTTGATTGTCATACTCCTTTCTCTCCTTCAAAAATTTCTAGATTGCACCTGTCTCGTGTCAGCGTCAGTGCTCTCCTATTGTGAAGATATGTTTTCTTTTCAAATTTTAGGAAATTTCAGGCTGATAAAACATGATACAACTCAAAAGCAAGCACAATTGGATGCAAATAGATATTTGTGACATAACCTCAAAATAGAGCGCTGACACGGAAAAGTAGAAAACTATGACAATCAAGGAGGCCATAAAGGCACCCTACAATTGTGGGAACGACTGACGATACGGGCCTAAGTCACAGTTTCGGATTTAGGAAGCTATAAAAAGGGGGTAAAGTGGTGGTCCAGGATTTGTCTGAGATGTTCGAATGACATTTGACCAGGCTGCAACAGTGTTTCTAGGAGCTAATGCCTTTCTGATAACTGAAGAGCGGGGAGGATTCACCCACACGGGGGTCATGATCGTAACGACTCTTATGACACCCTGAATCTGCCCTTGACTTGAAGTTTTGCGCCCCCCATGGCACTGCGCCCTGAAGCCGCTGCCTCACCTGCTCACCGCCTGTAGCCAGCCCTAGATGTTTACATAACAGGTTCTCCATCATTATTACAAGCTACCGGCAGATTGCAGGGCCTTTGTTCTATTCGTTTTCCACAAGATGTGATTCCTGGTGGCTTGTACAGAATTCTTCTGGTTCTTTGCTGTATTGCTGACGAACCGCAATTGTTACTACATGGAGTCCACTTAGACCAACTGAAACACGAAATGTTTTAGAGCGCAACAATCAAAAAGGTTATCAGCTACCGAAAACAGTATTGTCTTAAAATATCCTCCCTATGAAATTCAAAATAACAGTTTTACTAAAATGATCTGGGTGATGAGCGAAATTTGTCGCACAAAAATATCGAACGCTCAAGAAAATTGCGTTTTGACATCAGTGACGCATGCGACACTGGAATTTTATTTTTGTGATTTCTGTTATCGTTTGTCACTGTGTTGTCACTTTTGTAAACTTATGTGACTTTTCAGATGGGTGTTAAAAATAGGACAATAACGAAGAGAAAAGTAAATATTTTTAAGCAGACCTCCATTTCCCTTTTTCTAACGGTGAAAAAATTTCGAACGGGTCAAATGTCTATTGCGACATATGAGAACACCCACCTTCTTGGTAGTTGAATTGAAAATATGTTTCCATTTAATTGTTATATGGAATGATCAGAAACCAAATCTCTTGAAGGTGGAATTTTAGCATTAAGTTACTTGAAGACTCCTAATTGCCGCATGAGATACAATAGACAGCTTTCAGTGGAACAAAAATAACGAACCATTACGCCTTCCGCTATGTTATTTTTGACAGTGACAGCGAATAACGACTGTCAATGAAAAAAGAGTTTTTATGACCAGTAAAGTGAACCGTGGTAATTTGACAGTACTGACTACGTACAGTCATGACAACTTTCTTATTTCGATCTTACTGTAAAACTAAGCTTTAAATTTTAAAACCTTGTAATTTTTTTTATAGAAAAAATTCGGTAATATTTGTGTCCAGGCCGAACAAGAAACTAACAGGTTCAGAATCACAGAACCACAGAAGGACCACAAAATCAACAGAACTACAATAAAAGGCTACCTTACCACATTGCATATGGAACGAGAAACAGAGGGCAATTCAATTTATTTAGGACACCGCCTGTTTCTTGCATTTATTTTTATCAGTAATCTAAAACTAATATGCTTATAATGTTTCAATTAATACATTTGTATAACATGAAATTATTTCAATTAAGCTCATCCAGCTTTACAAATTCGGGAAGTAGCATTGAATAAAGCAAATATAACCTTAGGAAATAGGCCCTCCCCTATTCTCGGTAACTAACGGAGCTTTCTTATTTTGTTAACGGATAACGGAGCAGCAAAATAACAGCACTGAAAACTTTTTAAAAATAGGGGAAAAATAGAGGTGAATAACCATTTCTGTCAAAGAGCTTGCTAAGTCTAACCTGCTCATCTTGCATTCCTTTGGTGGTTGCCTTTCTTCTGTAACAGCTTCTCCACTTTCTGGTGGTTCGGTAGTGTTTTGCAACTCTTCCGATTTGTGATGCTTGTGCTTCTTAGTGCCTTTACAACGAACTTTACAATGGGAGCGTCTGAGCAAATGCTGGGGGCAAGCCTCTCCTCCGTTCTCTGGATGTCTCTGGAAAGAATAAAATTATCGCTCAAAATGGTTACATTCAAATGCATTCTCATCGATCATAACTTCGCCATAAAAAGTCAAAGTGAGATTACATACCAATATCTCCCTATGTCGGGTTTTAGTGCCTTGTCCACATGGTTTTCCCTTCAGATCACAAGTACTCCACCTTGACCACTTGCTAACCTTACAGTCGACTACTCTTCCTGATACTGTCGTAAATTCTGTCACCACCTGACTCAATCCTGAAAGTTATAGTTCATTCAAGAGTTGTAGCAAGATAAATTTTGGATCCTGTTTAAAAGAGAAGTTGATGGGGCATGTATAAGAAGCTCAGTTAGTTTTTCTCATATATTTCTGAAATAGAAACGAGAACTGGAACATTTTGGCAAAAGCATGCAGTTATCACCTAATGACCTTTTTTCGTTATTTAAGCTAGCCTCCATTATTTTTCTTTTAGAAAAATAGTAAATAATCAGCAGAAAAGTTTCTTCTTAGGTTGTCTATTTGTTTACAAAGACATACCGTTTTAATTATTTTTCTGGGCTTTCAGACGTATGGCCGCATTTTGTACTCGTCTTGATGATTTATTATATATAGTCAACGCCAAACAAAGTGGCGTGCACGTCATCAAGGTGGGTGTGTTGAAAAATTTACATTGTTGCCAAACTTTTTGTAAAATAATAAAATTTATTATTTACATATCTAGGTTTATAAGCAATATTAACCTCAAATGAGAACAAAAATGATAGTATAATAAAATTATAGATCTGTACTTGCATAATCATTAAGTATGACAATTATTGATCAGATGACACTATGAAACTACCATATTTAATTGATAGCTTAAAGGTACTGAATAAAAATCCAAATGGGGTCCTCCAAATTTTATGCATGGTATTTATTTTACAGAATTCATACAGAAAAATGCATTCTACAATTAGGTAAGCTACTGGTGTAAGCTTTTACTGTACAAAAAGTTAGTCGGAGTTTCTTTCTTCAGCGCTGTCTGAATCTGAATCTTCATCACTCTCAAAGTTGATTATTAAAGGTTCGATGTCTGGTCGATCAAAAATTCGTTCTCTTTCATACCATTTAAAAATTTCTTGCTCAGTATGTCGAACACTATTTTTCCACATGTCTGGGGTAACCGTTTGTAGAGCCTCGTTCCACATATCCAAACAGTCTTTTTCACTGTTACCATCTCTACCAATATGTCTGTTATAGTAACCTTTTGCTATGCCCCAAATTAACTCAATAGGGTTAAATATACAATGGTAAGGAGGCAGACGAAGAACTTTGTGCCCATGTTGTTCCGCCAATTCATCAATCACGTATATTTTAGGTGGTTTGTTTCTAAAAAAGCAGTTATTTTAAGAATAGGAATAAACAAAAGAAAAATAAACTGTTGACCAAAATCTATATAATTAAGAAGCATTATGTACCGAGCAACAATACTCAATAGCTCTGTTTTAAACATTGTGTTTAAAAATGGTATGTTTTGATTTGTCAACCAGTCTTGGATATTTTTTTTGTCCATGCATTGTTGGGCACTTTGTTCAATATCATGCTGTGATAAGGGGCGTTATCCAGTATAATCATAGATGGACTCTCCAATTTTTCTAATAACTGATGTTGAAACCATTTCAAAAAATTGTCCTGGTTCATCTCTCCATGGTAATCGCTCAATTTTGTTTTCGAAGAAAATATGGCTTCACTACCCTCAATAAACCCATTTTCATTTCCAGCATGTAATATAATGTATCTAAAATATATTAGTTTTAAATTTTATAGTGCAAATTGTGTAAAAGTACATACCTTTTACCATCTGTTTTAATAGCTTTCACGCTTTTTTGGTTTCCATTTTGCCAAGAGCGACCTATGGTCCCATTTTGAAATATCCAAGTTTCATCGAGGAAGACAAACTGGTATAAGGCCTCAACCTTGGCTTGATTGTATTGCCTTAGAAATTCCACCCTTTTCAAAGCTATACTTGGTAGTTCCATGAGCCCTCGTCGCGGATTGTCCTTAAGCCACTTAAATCCAAGATCTCTAAGCAACCGCCTTAAAGATGTGGCACTACCATCAAATAATGCCCTATCTCTTAATCGAGACCATAAAGTTTGTATCGTAACTTGTTCTTCTGAAACCATGTGTAATATGACATTATAATTTAGTTAACAAATTAATGCAAATTTCTGATAAGTTATTATAATAAGATCTTACTTTTGTGATACATATTATAGATCACTTCTCGAATGGCACTTGTATCCAATGTCGCTGTGTTGGTTACACGTTTAATATAACTCCGCTTTTTCATGGGCGATTCTAAATTTGCATCACTTTTCACACCCTCGGAAATACGACTAACTGTCCTTAAACTAATTTTTAAAGCAGCAGCAACACGCTACAAAAAATGAAATAAAATTTCACTATTATTAATATACATTACATATAATTATTAGTAACCTACCTCTTGAACAGCATTTAAAGGCAACAAAGGCCCGTTGTTGTCCCTTTCTTGCTCAAAGTAGTGCATTAACGAGGCCACGAGTTCCTTACACCGACTATTTAACTGTTTGGGCATCTTTATATACCAAAATTGCCTTTATCTACTCGTAAAATGAATAATTTTGTTTTGAAACAAACAGTTGTTGATTTACAGTATGCGGGGCCAAAGGATTTATAAAGATTTGAAATGCCACAAATTGATTCAGTGTCAAAATTAATACAAATGTCAGTTCCCAGTTTAAATAAGTTTCAAGGTGACAATGTGTCAACGCTGCGAAATCGGTTTAGTGCGTTTACATGTCGATAAGTGATTGGAGCGTTTGCAAAACATTTTATTTCGCATAATGCGTCTAAATTTATCAGAAAGCAACTTATGTGATATTTTAATAACAATGTTTATATGACTATTAACCATAATAAGAGAGTAATGACCATTTTACAATTTATATATCACATTAATATGAAACTGCAATAGAGCAATTGTTTGTGATAGAAACCTAGGCATTGGGTCGGGGAATTTTTATCGTGATGACGTGCACGCCACTTTGTTTGGCGTTGACTTATAAGTGAATTAGTCTATTGCCTCTTTCCACGTTTATAGTAGGTCAGACGCAATTCTATAGTCTTACCTCTTTCCTTTTCCTCACACGGCACCTCGCATTCCATGGTCTCCTCTGGAGGACAGTCCTCTTCATTCATCTCCTCATCACCATCGTCTCCCTCCTCTTTTGGAGGTCTCCTGCTAGGATCAACTGGCAACCGCATTCTTCTAGAATATCCTTTGCCACACTTTTCGTTTCCTTCCACTTTGCATGCTGACCATTCTCCCCACGCATCTCCAATACATTCATCGCTTTGCAACAACTCTAATTCATCCAGCCCTTCGCAATTGCGTGCGAATTCAGGATAACGGAACTGTCTGAATCTACAAGGAATTATGGAGATAGACTGTATATGGCTTTACATGCTGGAGGAAATACAAAGCTTGTAAAGGGTGTCCTAACATTCGCGCAAGAGATGAATTGAAAACAAAACACAGTTTTCTCCATCATCCCCCATGCTTGTCAGGGATCTCTCTCCTTGTGTGTTAACAACAAATTGATGGTTCGTCGATTTCAGCAATAGCCCTAAAGTGGATCGCTGTGGAACACCCACAATAATAATTATCCTTGGTCGGTACAACTATCAGTATTCTTCCATTAAAACAGCTTTTGCTACGATTATTATATGGGTAGGGGCACCAAACCTTCGATTGATCTAACTGAAGTAATAAAAAAATAATCAGGTCATTTGATACCTACCTAGTCTTGGTTCCGTTGCCACATGTGGTACTGCATAGAGACCAATCTGTCCAGTTACCGAGAGCACAACGCGTATCTCCTGCTGGGAAGGCTTCTACCGACTAACAACACAGAAAATAGAAATATCACTTTCAAAATTATATTTGGATTTGAACATTGCTGAGAAAGGAAGAATGACGAAACATAATGACAACACCAGTTTCAGAAGCTAAATTAGTGAATATCAATTAATGAAATTGTGCTCCATACTAACTCGTACCTCTGTAACAGCGTTAGAGCCATCTTCTTCTTGCTCTGATCCCTGGTTGCCACCGTTACAGTCACCTACACATTCCATCATTTGTATCAATTCTTCCTGGCAAAACTGTAAACTTGACTCTTGGGTATAGTTTCGTGTCCTAAAATCAAGATTAAACTTGATTGAACTTCTCCAGGTGGCTCTTCTTCGAGCACAAAATAAATGGATTTTTAAAGTTAAGATAGTGAAGATAACGAGATAGTAAATATCGTGAAAAGATTGTGCGAACAGTGTGGATAGTAGATAGTGACGATAGTGCAGATAATAAGAATATTGCAGATATATTGAGGATAGTGAATATATTGATGATTGCGAAGATAGTGAAGTTGCTGAATATAGCGAAGATTTTGAACATGGTGAATACGAAAATAGTGCAGATAATGACGGTAGCGAATATATTGATTATAGTGAATATAGTGACTATAGTGAATATAGTGACTATAGTGAATATAGTGACTATAGTGAATATAGTGAATATAGTGAATATAGTGAATATAGTGAATATAGTGAATATAGTGAATATAGTGAATATAGTGAATATAGTGAATATAGTGAATATAGTGAATATAGTGAATATAGTGAATATAGTGAATATAGTGAATATAGTGAATATAGTGAATATAGTGAATATAGTGAATATAGTGAATATAGTGAATATAGTGAATATAGTGAATATAGTGAATATAGTGAATATAGTGAATATAATGAATATAGTAAATATAGTGAACATAGTGAATATAGTAAATATAGTAATCGTAGTGAATATAGTAAATATAGTGAACATAATGAATATAGCGAATATAGAGAATATAGCGAATAAGGTGAATAGTGAATATAGCGAATAAGGTGGATATAGAGAATATAGTAAATATAGCGAGTATTGCGAATATAGCGAATAACGCGAATACAGCGCATATAGCGAATATGGTGAATATAGTGAATATAGTGAATATAGTGTCTATAGTGAATATAGTGAATAAAGTGCATATTTTTTTTTTATACTCCAACAACCACGAAGGCCCAAGGCCTAAGCACCCATTGGGTACCGTGGGGCTATAGGGGGATACATGGGAAAGGGGGGGACGCCACATGGTCTCTGGCGAGGGAACACGTGTGCATGCAACATGCACACATTCTGGCTCCGCCTACGAGAACCGCCGGGTGGTACCTCCGCGTTCGACAGTCAGAGACCATCTACCACCTACGGACAGTCACAACATCCATAGCCAATAGAAAAATTTCTCCTGGGACGGGACTCGAACCCGCACAGCGCACGGCGACTGATCAGGAGACCGAATTGTCTACTACTGCGGCCACCGCTGCTGCCCAGCATATAGTGAATATAGGGAATATAATGAATATAGTGAATATAGTGAATAAGGTAAAGATAGTGGAGGTGGTTGAGGTTGTGAAGATTGTGGACACAGTGGGAGTAATGAAGATAGTAAAAGTAGTTAGTATTCACAGTGAAAATAAAAATAAGATGCACACCTTACAGATATCCCAGGTCCACAAATGGACGTACACCTGGTCCATGGTGTCCACTTAGTCGTTAAACACTCGTTGGTTGTTTTTGACCCATCTTCATCCTCTCCATGCTCACATGGTTTGTCATACAGCCTTTGTCTGGTGAAGTGCAGTTTGGCAATGGGGTTCATTCGTTCGCCTTCTTCACTGAAGAAAGGAGATCTGGGATCGTTGGGATTATTCTCCGTTATCTCCAGGATGGGTCTTGGTATCGAGTTCGGATTTGGTGGATCAGGGCTCTAAAATACAATTATGGTTAGGGTTCTCTTCTTCCTTCGTCAATGAGTGGCGCTTTCTACAATTACGGTCTTCAGCAAACTATGCAAGGTGTTCTGAAAGTTAGGACTTTCCTTTTGTGAGCCATCACGATTACTCTGATCCCAATCCTTTGCTGGAGAGATGAGAGCCGGATTTTCCTGTTAACCTAATAACTGTATTGACTTAAGTTCATGCGTTACTAGGAACATTTGCTTATCTCTACAAGAGCTATACGCTATATAAAGGAAAGTCCCTGTATTATTTTTACTTACAGTATATCCTATTCGATCGTCAGTTCCAGTATCAATTGGATAGAGGTTGTAGGTATATGATTCTAACCAAGTACAGTTGCTCCTGCATAGTTCGAAGTCAGATACACCAACGAACCAATCTGGAGAAGGAATTATTTTAGACACCAATGAGACTCTGTGATTGGTGCTGTCTACCCGAAAAACGCTGTACGTTGATTGGGTGATGTTAGGGTACTGAAGACTTCTTGCCTTTATGATAGTTCTAATGTGTTGGCTCTGAAAGGAAAACAGCAGGAATAAATGACATGTGCATTGCTACAGGCCCTTAATATGAACTAGTGTAGGTTTAACAAAGGTACCGATGATGCTAAGACAAAATTACGAAGATAGTGACTAATCATACTGCCTTTATAAGTTGAATGTTCATTGTTACCATTTCTTTCAGCTCTGATTCAAGAGCTCTGATGCTTTCAGTTTCCATAAGCTCTTTGAGACCATCGCTAGCGTAGTCGGCAATTTTCCAAAATGAATGCAGCCGCGCATGGGATGCACCTATGATATCGCTGAATTTTGTGCTCCAAACATCTGATGGGTAGTGCCTGGGATGGGTGTTCCTAGTCCAGGTTCCTTCAAATGCAACCTATGGAATTAGTGGTCAAATAGGAGTATCACATGTTATTTATTTCAGAACCTATACCTTGAAAGACAACAAATGTGGTATTTTCATAAACCTTTCTCCTGGTTTTGATTATGTCGATCATGAATTGTTGCTGTTTAAACTACATATAAGTATGGAATTTGTGGTCTAGCCCTACAAAGTTCTTAGTCATATCTTGATATAAGAAGCGAGACGAAGGTTTTGTCCCATCAAGATACGTCTTTGGGCCTTTCCTGTTTCTATAGTATGTATTTCTATCTACAGTATATTCTGGAGTCAAACACAGATGACACTGGTATATTACTAGCTCATTTGGGTAGCGATGACCTTACCATAAAAATAATAACTTATAACTATGCACAAAAATAATCTGAAAACAATGGGCTCATACTGAATGTAGAAAAGACTGAAGTCATTAAGTTCTTCTCTATTCCTTAGAATGCTGGATATAACCAATGATCACCTGGAAGCCTAATATGGAATCATGATGCACTATGAAGCAAATTACGGAGAAGTTGCTATGAAATTAGATTTTTATCAAACTATTATAGTAAGTATGTATTACTAAGTCTTGGCCATTCCAATCTTAGTTGCCACTTGCGTTATGGCATTTTATGCTCATTAATTGTGCATAAATTATTTCAAATCCCTACATATTTCAACAATAGCTAGTATTCCCATATACGAGTTGTCGATTTTTATGTATAGAACAAATCAACATTTTTCAAACAAAAATGTGACCATAATTATCCCTTCAGAGCCATAGATTTGTTAATACTCCCTAAACATCGCATAAAAATATAGTCTTCAATAAACCTGATATAGGTATCAAGGATTCTACAAAATTAATAGTTTTTAAATAAAAAATCAAGGCCTTTTTGATAGAGGGTTTAGAGGAGTTCTTTTCATCCTAAACTCATGCTATTTTCACAATTTTACATTTACTAAACTGTGAGTCTTCTTGTCTCACCAATTTCTGTGTTGACTTGTTATACTGCGTGCTACTATTTAACAGGAAAATAAGTGTTTTATTTTTTTGTTATTTAATATGTGATAATCTAGTTATCTATGCTTACCTCATACTTTGCCTCAGAACATGCACAGCATTTTTCCAACCTCTCAGGCTGAACATTCTGATCTTCTGATTCTTCACACAATCTTCTAGTTAATCTACCATGTTCACTGAACCAGCTTTCTCTGCTTTCTATAACTGTAGCTTTCAGAACTATACAGCCACTGTCCCTTGGTGGGGCTGTCCAATAAACCTAGGATAACAGTAATATAAATTATGTTTCCCAAGAAACAATAATATATGATGCAGTCTTTACTAAGCATTTTTAACTAATAGTTACACATGGTTTCATGAGGTAAACCACAGTAACGCCAATTACTGTTAATAATTTCAAAAAAATTACCTGAACCTCTGTCTTCGGTATCTCACTGGTTTCAACGATAGTATTAGGACAAAATTTGCTGAACGTAGCCAATACCTCATCTGCACCATATACAATGTCGAATTTTCCAGCGTGTCCATTTTGTTGCGAGCTCTCAAACTCAGCCGTCAAAATGAACCACTTGAATTTCTTATAAGCAGGAGAATCATCGCTTAGTTTTAGGGATACTACAAAGAATAGAGTAGAACAATTATTCACCAGATTTCTTCAAACTCTTGTGTATACATATTTAGAGCTGACATTTTTACACGGTCACAGATGAGCCTTGAAGTTTATAAAAAAAATATTTCATACTGAAATGCGCTGAACTGTTTATAAAGTTAGCACGCAAACTGAAGACACTATTATGTTTCAAACTATATTAGACTAGTTAATATGTAGCATGCGCTAAATGGCTGCATTATTAATGAATGCATGACTTTGTCAAATAAGAAGGTCACGTTATCCAGCTTCTTTACGAAGAAATATAACTCCCTGGACATTTTTTCTACAAGTATTAAAAAAGTATACGTCTATTTTCGAAATCTTCTACGATTAAAACTAGTGCGAACTCAAAATATTAGAAAATAAACTCGAGAAAACGAGAAACGGAAGACAAATATCAACCAATTGTAGCGAACTGATCGTCTGGAAGTTTAGGCAAAATGATCAGTATGAGTCCCCAACACATTATTTAAAGTTTCAGCATTTTATCTTGTATAGTTGTCAATAGTATTCTGATTGTTTATAACAGATTTGATATACATGCAACGCTCGCTTGACATTTGTCAGTTAATTTAAATACCCCCTTAAACGACTTGCATCAATAAAATCGGACTTTACAATTATTTCGCAAACCAGGGTTATTTTCGTCTATGATTAGACATAGGATCATCACTGTTATCAAAGAAGATTTCTATGTTCACTTTTGTCATTCTGCCACTGTCTCATAAATGGCCCCTTTCTTTCATTGGAATGTCTTCAGGTAGAATACGTTAATCAATGGTGTGAGGTAATGCGGGTGGCAAGAAGTAATCCGAATGTCTCCGAACTTAGTTCTTATAGTTCTTTGAGCTTTCGGACATCATTGCACAGCACAGTAAGAATGTGAAAAATTGTGACATTAACGTTTCATGTTTCTGAAGCTTTCAATAATATACCCTGAGGTGTATAAAGTATTTCTCTAGGGCTGGTAGTAGAAGTAGTAGTGGTGGGGGAGGAGAAGCGTGGCAACTAGGCCATCTTTGACCCTTTTGCCGACCCCGTAGTACCTACACTGTACTACTCCACGAGCCGTCTACTGATAACTGATATAATAAACCAGCTCCAGCGATGAGATATACCTGTTAATATTGCACCACGTGCGTGACAGAGACAACCCAACATCCATGGCAAGGAATTCCGAGGCGGAGATTCGAACCCGCGAGCCCTGGGTTGCAGAATTGACTCTTCTGTAAGCTATTTTTTACAATACAAAGAATAAGAACTAAGAACAAATCAGCCAGGTAGAAGACAGACTTACCATTGTAACGTTGACCAGGAGCATAGCTTTTTGGATTTCCATGTATCGCTATCATGTATCTATCTATATCATTTATGTTTTTTGGTTTTAGGACGTTCACAGACATACGATCACAGTTCATGCAGTATACTTTGCATATTAGCAGACATATGAGGCCTACTTGAATTATGACACTGTGTAATTCCATTGTGTATGGATTTCTGCAAAGAATTATATTTCAAGAATAGTGTACGGAATTTTATCAAGATTATAATCTTCAAGATCGCTGTAATTCGGAATTCGGAAATTCAACAAGTCCACAAGTAAAATGAAAAACACATCGCTGGCAAAATTTGATTGAAACAACCTGAAATACTAGGATAATATTTTTTTTGATCTAGCAGAAAATTTACATTCTCAATTTAAATCATTTCTGTTAGTGATGCAGCTTTCATTTGTCCGACCATAGACGACTGACTAGGGATAGCTGTTTCGTGCTATTTGGCAACTCGTCAGCATGGTGTATCGTTTTGTCTCTGTGGACAACGCACAAAAGCTGAGTAGGTCTACTCTATTCTGAGTATAAGGTTTATCGAAATAAGACAGCATTTCTATTGTCTGTCGCCGTCTGTCGGATAATTCTTGGTCTTCCTGTAACTCAGAAAGTAATGCTTGGTTGAGTGAACAGCCAAAAATTCCAAAATACCCCTAATAACTTCTGAGCGCTCAATATCCCCAACTACGCAGTCGCAATCTGTTTTTGGAAGCATCAAGATTTCTTAAAATACGAAATTCCAGTTTTGAATGTTCTTCAGCTTCCTGATTCCTTTGGGGCGTAGACAGATACAAATTTTAGGGGATAGTCTAATCATATTAGACGAAAATACCGCTGGTCTGTGAAATAATTGTAAAGTCGGGTTTTAAGTTGGGGTATTCAAAACATGGACGCATAAAATGGGTACACCAATTTTTGTGGGAAAACTTTTTATTCGACATTCAATGGAAAGTATTATAATATTTTTAGATATTTATGAGATCTACAAAATGAGACCACACGTACAAAGATCTGACTATTATCAAAAAAGTTATGGCCGAATACCGGGGCAAACTCCAGGTTTTGGCACTTATTGGTAATGCGATGATGGTTTCTCGCAGATATTTGAAATTCTTCAGATTCGTAGGATTTGTACTTCTGAATAACGACAACCAAATTGGAGTAGACTGGTCACGTAGTTTTTGAGAATTTCTAATTGTTTATTCCAAGACACATGTTTTGCATCCATCACTACTAGTTTATTGAGCAATGTACAGCGTTAACTCAAAAGGCATTTTATAGCAAAACACAAGTTACCACGCCGATATGAATCGCAAACCTTTCCTGAAGATAAGTGGTATTTTTATGCAAAACAGGATGGTTTACGTTTTTTATTCTAAACAAATGCGAACATTTTGTATTTGTGAGTAATTCGCAATAAAAGATGATAGACACATCCGCTTTGCTTTAAAATGTGTACAGTAACGTATGTTCTCGAATATTGTAGCGCATCTGTTCAGTTACTCACAAATACGAAATGTTTGAATTTGTTTGGAAGAAAAAACGTAACCTTTGTTTTTCGGATAACAATAACATCTATCTTTCGGAATGGTTTGTGATTCATATCGGAAAGGTAAACACGTGTATTTTGCCATTAAATGCTCTTTGAACAAACTCTGGATATTGCTCAATTAACTAGTAGTGATGGCCGAAAACCGGTGTTTTGGGATAAACAATTAGAAATTCTCAAAAAAATATTTGACTAAAAGACTCCAATTTTGTTGTTGTTATTTAAAAGTACGAATCCTACGGATTTGAAGAATTTCAAATATCCGCGAGAAACCATCGTCGCATTAGCAACAAGTGCCAAACCGTCCAATTTGCCTCGGTTTTCGGCCATAACTTTTTTGCTATTAGTCTGATCTTTTCACTTGTGATCTCATTTTGTAGGTCTCATGATTACCTAAAAACCTTATATAAAAAGTTTTTTCGTTCCTGTCAACACTTTCGATTGAATCCCCAAAAAAACGTTTTCTCATTCTTTGTCGTCGAATAAAAAGTTTTCCCACAAAATTTTTACGCCCATGTTTTGAATACCCCTTGAACAACTTATACTGATAAAACCTGACTTTACAATTTTTTCGGGGAAATTTGCTAATATGATTAGACTAGGACTCATAAAACATAACGCGTAGGATTTCCAAAATTGAAGTTATGTGATATGTATGTACTTGACTCCATTTCTTTTGTCACCAGTAGGTACTCGAATAATTAAAAACCAAGACAAACTTTCCGTAAGGTTCTAGCGGAGTCATTTCTGCTGCTATACTCAATGAAAAGTCGACAATATCCCAAGGAAAATGTTTGTTATTAAATGCTATAAGAGAACCACCTGAGAGGTCATTTGTATGGTGTGTATTATACGTATAGGTATATTTTGATGTAAACATGTTTGAATGATTTAAATTATCAACGTTTGACACCAGAAGGTGGCCGATAATGAACCATAGTAAACACCTAAACCTAATCACATGTATCTGCGTTAATCTCATGTAGAAAGATCTCCATCGACATTGATCCGAAATATCAAAATTAACCTTGAACCAGTAAGTGGGACAACAACAATCTTCTCGCCCGCTGAGACAGTCTGTGAAAAATTAGTTTTAATTGATGAACACTAGCGAAAACTAATAAATTGGTAGATTGTTAATGAACCAGAAGTGTGCGGTTTACAGTGGTCACCATACCTAGTTGGAAATTGTCATAAGAAAAATATGGTATACGACCGATATAGCGTCGGTAGACTGACTGACTCTTCAATTAAATTATTGAAACAAATAAAAAATGGGATTTGGTGTATTTCCGAAATATCTATCAGTATTGTTTGGTACCTCTCGTCTAGTTTATAATTTGTTCTGATCTAGTAGAAGTGACATTTTGGAATCAAGTACTGATGCTAGTGCGTGTGAACTAAGTAGATGGGACGTAAACTTAAGACACAAAAACATCGGTTAAACCGTGAAGAGACGATATACGAAGTAATAATTAAGCAGATCAACAGGAAAATGGATTTTTCAGTCTTAAAGATAGTTAGTGATAGTTTTAGATGCGCTGAGACTTGTAACTTTTAGTCAGAGCAAAAACAAAGACAACAAGTACGCAAGATGAATTTCTTGTTAAAGTAGAGCAGTGAAGTTGAAAATAAGTTACAGAAACTTCTTTTGGTGACTGTTTTGCAATGTTATTTTTTCATTCGGTCAAAGTATAGATGCACTTTCGTTAGCATGTCCAGTTTTATAGGTAATAGTCATATACAAACCAAGTTAAACCTTCACATTGTCCTACCTAGGCGTACCGAGCTTGATGCTTATGTAGACTTCTGATAGTGGTTGGAAGACAAAGCGATTTTTCAGATTTTTTTTAAAGCATTCATGTGATAACTGATATTTGCAATTTCTTACCTGTTGAAACTGGTTGGTAGAACTGTTAAATTTTTTGCCAACAGATTTTTCGCCGCATTTAAAAGTGGAAATTAACGATCTTTAAAGCCCTTGCTGCTGATACAGAAAAGAGAAACACAATTTTAGGCATTGGGGGAGCCCAGAAGCCTACTCGTTTTATGTGCTCATCGATTCAAACTAGCTCTCACTGGTTTTTCTTGTTATCCTTAGATATATTCATGTAAGTAAGCTCCTGGTTCATTTTGTTTTCACAGATGCTCAACATTTATTTGTCTTTGTTGACTATTGTTGTTATAAAGTAGATTTTTCATTTTGTGGCAAAGAACTTACTAAATTTCTGTCTCTATTTGCTCAAGCTGTAGTCCAGTTACATAAAACTGCATTGTTACATGTTTGCAACATGTTTGTAAATCTTCAATGATAGCCTAAACAAATAAATGGCAAAACGAGACTACGTCAAAATATACATTTCTGGAAACTATTGTGTCACATCATTGAACTTTTGAGCTAGTATTCGAAAAAATAATGACACAATTCATACAATAGGACTGATAAATTAGCTTCTGTTTTGCTAGGTTGCTCAAACGCGCTATTCGGCATAGGTACCATATTGACGGCTTCGAGTACTTTATCTAATTTCACCTCAATAAATGTGCACTTTATCTTTAGCTAACTTCGAATCTACTTTAAACTAGGGCTTAACACGTTTCTAGATTCAACGCTGTTATTTTACGTAAGAGGATATTTTCTGAATGGTAGGTGCCAGTCCCTAAATGGTCCATTCAATATAAGTCTATCTACGATGAATTAATTTGTAAGGAATGATAATAGTGCCGAATCACTGATTCACTTACCGATTTGTTTAATACTGAAATAATGTTCGATATACAACTAGCTGTTCATTTAACACATTGGTACTCCACAATCTCATTGACAGCAATCACTGAATTAATACTAATTATAAACATGGTTGGACAAGATATCTCTCGTATCATCTGAACGTCTGCGAGCGTGGTAGGGAACCGTATAAACAATCATTTATCTCAAGTTCAATTCGCGAACATAATTTTTTCATTCGAACCGATTAATTGGTCGAAATCATAACAGACGATAGTGCGACGTTAGCGGTGCTCAATTGATATTTGTGAATCCAAAAATATTTTATAACAGTGCACCATGTTATGCCCAAACTTGTTGCATATTTTACTCGCTTTTATACTGTTGCCGCTTAAGTTTTAGTCTTCCAAGAAAGCTGAACATCTAAAGAACACTGAAGAAACTTTATTGGAAATTTTTTGATAAATTAGTATATTGCAGATTTTTACTCGTAGAACAAAAGGGACCAGAGTTTTCCGACGTATAATTTCGTAGATATGGTGGCTACCAGTTGGGGTTTACGTGTATCCAATTACAGCGTATTACGGCTACAGTAAACTACTACAGGGTGACGGAGTTTTGTTCCTAGATACGATTTTTTTTCTAAATTGTCAAGGATTATCCTGTGAGGATACATTTCGAAAGTATTCACGATTGGTTGCTGGCCAGGGGTAACCATTTTAATTGTATTTTATTAAAAAAAAACATGATATATGTACATAGTACTAGATTTTTGTGTAAACATGTATTATAGTCTCCAATTGCAACCTAGCTTACGGAACGTGATGTGTTAAGGATAGTGGGGGACCAGTCGAATCTTGTCCAATCTTATATGGTGAAGAGGTTCTCGGTAAATTTCACGAATTTTTTCCCTTAAGAAACATATTAATTTTAGTAGTTTAAGTATATTAGTTTTCAATCTTACCAATGTGAGTTTAGGTTACGATCTGAGCAATCTCAAATACTACTCTTGGGGCCATATCGTCAGTCGGTCCTACAATTGTAGAACACCTTTATGGCCTCCTTGATTTTCACAGTTTTCTACTGTTCCGTGTCAGCGCTCCATTTTGAGGGTATGTCATAAATATATCTATCAGGTAACCAAATAAGTTCGTGCAGTTTTTAGTAGAAAAATATAATTTTTTATTGAGAAACAATAGGACACTATTTATGCGTCAAAGTAATTACCATCACATTCAAGGCCTTTTTGCCAACGTGAAACCAATTTTTGTATGCCGGTATTGTAGAACTCCCTGGATTTGAAGTAAAAAAAATGGCGGACTGCATTTATTACACCATCTCGAGTTGTGAACTGTCGGTGCCTCATACAGTTGTCAAGAGACAAAAAAAGGTGATAATCACTGGGAGAAATGTCGGGAGAATATGGCGGGTGCGGTAACGTTTTCCAGCCGAGGTCAGAAATTTTTTCTCGGGTCACTTTTGCGGTATAAGGCTTGGCGTTATCCTGCAAGAATATCACTTTCTTCTGATTGATCAAAGAAGACTGTTTCTGAATGAGTGCTGCTTGTACTCGTTGAAGCTGCTCACAATACAAGTTAGCAGTGATGGTTTGACCCCTTTCCAAAAATTCATAATGGACTATTCCAGTTGCTGTCCACCAAACATACAACAAAACCTTGTTTGGATGCAAGGAAGCCTTGGGCGTGTGTGGTACCGAATCAGTAGGCGACAACCAATGATACGTACGCTTAAAATTCGAATAGAAGGTCCATTTTTCGTCGCATGTTAATAACCGATCAAGAAATGGTTCATTAGCGTAGCGTGAAATGTTTGCTGAACAAATGGTAAGACGACTTAATATGTTATCACTTGTCAGTTCATGTCGGACCCATTTGCTTAACTTCCACGTCTTTCCTAGCTGATGAAGATGCAAATGAATAGTTTCATGGCTCACTCTGAATATTTCTGCAAGTTCTTGGCACGTTGTCCTCGAATTGGCGTCCACAACCTGTCGAAGATCCTCGTTGTTTAAGATTTTTGGTCTTCCTGGGCGCGGTTCATCGCTCAAACTGAGATCTCCCGAAGAACATTTTTTGAACCAGTTCTGTGCTGTTCGATCACTAACGGCATCATCTTCGAATGCTGTACATATTTTTTGCGCCGCCGCTGCAGCTTTTGTACCAAGTTTGTAATTACTGTTTTATTCGTCGCCATTTTCAATTATTAAAACTAGGTATGTAACAATTTTCAGCAACTTTTTATGTGTGTGAGAAAAGAAGAATTCATACTAGAGGGACAACAGGTAACAAACAATCGCTATCGATCAACAACATCCATGGTAATGTGCGATATACATCAACCGAACGAACTTATTTGGTTACCTGATATTTGCATTAAGTTATTCAAGCTTTTGATTTATATCATCTGTTTTAACAGCCTTAAATTTCCTACAATTCAAAATGTAAACATAACTTCACAATAAGAGAGCACTGACGCTAAATAAAGGCAATTGACAATTGTAGAAACGACTGACGATACGGACCTAAATAATTATTAAAAATAGAAATCCTCAAAACTCTCATACTCGTATAATTTGTGAAACTATGGATCGAGTTTACTGTCCTGGAATGTGGAGCAGAAACAAATTCCTTTTCCATGATACAAGCTGTTTATATAGACAGGTATTCAAGAATAAGCTTCTCTACCTTACTCTGTACATTTTATTATTGTCTTATTTCTACAAAATATTAACAATGATTTCATACCTGTAGTAGGTTAAATTAAACACTGATATGTTACTAGATATACAAAACTACATACTAAAAAATATCATAAAAAGATTGTAACAGAGTTCAATTTGAGTGTCTCGAGCAGGATACTAAAACCATGGACCAAGTAGTCCATATACGTCTATGATCTCAGTGAAATTTCCATTATTCACTCTTATGCCTCCATTTCAAGAACTATCAAAATTACTATTGAAGGAAAATCTACAATCAATATGTTAGCAGTTGGTCGACAAACATTTCTTTGGAGTTACAGAAAAAGACGAGGTCTTGCGTCAACGATAATTTAAGGAAAAATATCTAAATTATTCCATTGATACTCGGACGAGTATCTTGCTCAATAACAGGGACATGGTCGATGCTCCACTTCATTTTGGCAGGTGCTATCTGGCTCTTCTGGATAAACTAGAACATGTCTAACTCTGTGTTGGTATTGGTTTTCACAGTCTGGGCTGCACTTGCTCCACGAGGACCATTCGGACATGCCACAACCGGTTCGCACCCTAATCTTCTTCTTTTTCTTTTTTTGACAAGTGACGTGACACTTCTTTCGCTTCACTAGTTTCTTCGGGCATGGAAATCCGTCGTTTTTGGTGTGAACCTGTAATAGGTACAGTGGGTCAGAAAATCCATATCGTAAAATGTTCGAATAATGTAAAGTAGCATGACCTTGGGCTCCAGGAGCTGCTAATAGTAATGTATTTGTAATACAGGAACCTGAAAGTTAATATCTAATAAATAGTACAATAATTACATTCATAGTTTGAGAAGTGGGACACAGTGGGCGGGCATTTTATCACCTGAGGAGCCTAGTGATGAGTGATATAATGTACGAGTCCAATAATGGCCTTATCAAAAAGGTAAGTATATTTTGAGGGTAAGCATTAGTTTTCATTACTAACAGGGTGTTTCCTAGTTGAATGTTAACATTTGGGGGGCAAATTTAAGGTTCATTTTAAGAAGAAAACTTCACATGGACGTATGTCCTAAAATAAATGAAAATCAAAACCTGTATTCATTAAAGTAAGATTTTATCTCTTAATTTTTTCAGTACAACGTACGGTTTTATTATAAGATCTATTTCTCTGAACGGTGATGTCATATTAACGATATAGACCTAGTCAGAATTCATTGAATTCAACATATTACTAATTTGATTTCGACTGTTCGATTCAAGAGGAATAAGGTACTTTAAACGTTTAGAGCCGTTATCAAACATTATGTCGATTATTGCGGTATTTAAAAATCAAAACTATATAGGAGCTACATTCAAAATTTCTTATTTCGTAATTGTTCTAAAATATCTTGAAATATAAAGTCTGGCACCACAAACTTTACAGGCTGCAATTTTAGATGACGTTATTATTATATATTACAGTATAAAATAAAAGCGAAAAATGCGAATAAATGATAGTCCCACAGGGAGGAATACCTACGTGGGTAAATAAAATTAAATATAAAAATAAGACTCAATAATGTAGCATATAACGTCCTTAATATAAATTATCCTCATCAGGTAAATAGCACTTACAGTTCGTTAAAAATGTTACGCAATCATAATTTGAGGATACAATCACAATTAAAAAATCAAATCAGACATTAGATAATAGAGTAACTATTTTTAAAATCAGTTTCTTGGTGTATCTACATTCGAGGTATAGATCGGAACCACTTTTTTATACATTTGTTTCCAGAAGGAATGATTTTGAACAATCTAGGAGCTAAGAAAGAATATGATCTTAGAAACAAAGTTTTTTGTAGCGTTGGTACTCTAGCCTTTTTCGTTTGATACTTATAAGTAACATAGCACAATTATTTTTTTTTGTTTTTATATTGATTTATAGGCTATAGAAACCGAGTTGTATTATGTCAAAAACTCAGACTTTCTGAATAGTTCGTTAGAGGGATATGTTTTGGTAGGTTATGTATTATTTTCATTACTTGTTTTTGTACTATTTTTAGTTGATTTAGATGATTTTTGTTTGCCGAACCCCATATTGTTATGCCGTAAATGAGATGCCTTTCTATTAAGGCATAGTATAATTATTATACTATATGTTGCGTAAAAGTTAGATACTGCTTTAGATGTCTAATTTTATAAACAAGAAATATGAGATTCCCAAACAAATAATCTATATGCATATTTCAGTTTATCATATACTTCAAATATATGCCTAAATATTTAATGCTGTCTTTTCTTTTTATTTCTTTTGAAGCATTTCCTGGTGATATTTTCAGGAGATTATAGGGCAGTGATAGCTTTACATTTGGCGTGACAAGAATTGATAGGTCTTTCTCACTGTCACACATTAATTTATCCCACGCCCCAGCCTGGTAAATAAAGACAGTGTTGTCCGCAAAGCTGATCATTTCCCTTGCCGTTGGTGCGTCTACTTAAGTAGATATTAGATAGTGCAATGCCATACTTAAAAGTTAGGGGTTTACTAGTACTGCCGTTAATATTAACATATTGTGTTCTGTTATTTAGATAACCCTTAAAAACCTTATAGGCAACTCCTCTTACCCCAACTCTCCATAAAACTGCCAGTAACTGCAGTGGACGACTGTGTCAAAGGTCCTTTTTAGGTGTATAAAAACCCCAAGATGTCGGATACTATTATCAACGTTTTCGCATATCTTAGAGGAAAACAGGTTTATAGACTTATTTTTTCTTGCTTTCATTGTTCATCTAGAGAGAAAAATGCCACTACTCAGTGAGGCAATGCGGTCAATAGATTCGTCAGGTAAGTGTAAAGATCTTTCTCCTGAATCAGGGGTATTTCTATATTTCTAGAAAATTCTCTCTTCATGGGATACGGCTAGGTCATGTACCTTAGTGTGAAATGATCGAAATCAACTCGTTTTTTTTATCTAAAGATACTATTTGAATACTACTAATTATCTTACGAGTATTGTTCTCCTTTTCTCTTTCAGTCCCCAACCACAAATTCCATTTGTGACGTTGCATGGGCTCCAATTACTCCATTTGGTTACTTCACAGTCCAAATTTATGTCGTCCAGAAACGTTTCCTCTACCACCTTGTTATTTCTGTTATCATCACTATTCGCTAAAATCTTATTATTATTAGAACACTGGATTGCCTGGCAAAAACTACATGACAAGAAATATTTTTATTTGAAGGCTAAGCACGGTCATTTCTTGTAGCACCTATGAACAGGTACTACAAGATTTAGGACAAACTGTCAAATTAGTAATAACTGCGAAAACTACTAACAACACATATCTGCTGTATGTGTACTAGAGTCTAAGATTGCCCTTCAAGGATGAAGAGTTCTGAAATTTGAAAAAAAAAACATTTATTTTCAGAGCTGTCGAATCTTAATTGATTATCATATTTTCCTGTCATGTAGCTAAAGCACATAACTGCTAAAAATAACGTCAAATTACCACAATTATTACCATTGATAGCGTCATTTTGGATGTTGTACTGCATTACACTAGACAAAGTTACTCCTAGATGTTTCTTCCACATTGTTGAATTAAGCATGAATTCTCCTGAAAGGAGACAAAACAACTTGGAAAATATCCGTCAATAGCTGCGTTGGCTTTACACACAATCTCAGATACACTCACATCGCTTCAGTTTATACATTTTTTTGCACGTTCTATTAATTAAAAGTAAGTTTTAATGGGGTGAAGTTTCTGTCCCCCTCTATGCTAACAGCATTACCTACATACCAACTTCAGCTGGGTGACATTTATCCTCTCTTGCAGTTTTCAGGTTGAGGTTATTTTGTTTATACGTAAACTCCGTGAATTCAAATTGCGATCACCTTATCAGTGGAAATAGAAAATTAATTTAGAATGTCCTACGGTATAGTTACAAACAATCAGGGACGGAATATGTTTATGCTCTTGTCAAGGTTAACTGCTGTTCTTTTTGAGCTCTGAAGTGAGCCAGACATCTACAAGATTTGGTTGCCTCATCTCTATTTGGACTATCACTGCACTTGCAAAACTAACGCAATTTATATTTTGCATCAAATATTACGTTCAGCTGATGTCGTTCTATTTTCAATTTTTCTATATTGTGCGTATAATTAACTTTATAAACTATGGCATATTTATGAAAGAAAATTTGTATGCTTACGTTGATATTTTGCACATAGTGTCTGGCACTGTTCTAAGGTGTTGAAATTGTTGTCGTTTCCTTCGCATCCACTGTAAGTGAATATTTCGCAATTGCCTTTCAGAATGTCAAAATACCACCTGTCTACACTGCTTTTACATTCTCCAACATCCTTGGGTAACGTACAGGCTAACTCTGAAAAAGAAGATTTGTTTTTTCTAGAAATTGTGTTTTAACTAGGGAAATACTTATGTTAGATGATTTCTACTTTCGCTATTCATACGTCTATGCTACCTAATCGATTGGATGTCATGGCTTAGTTTCGTAAAATGCCATTGAGTAGATTTATTTATTTCGAATACAGGAAACAACTAATTTTTCAATTTACCTGATTTCTGTTTTGTCTGTTCTGGACAAGGCCTCTGGAAACACTCAACTGTTTCTCTGACCTTCAAGTTGTTACATGGATCCTCTTCATCGAATTCCTCTTCTTCATCGCTCCCTCTATAGTTTCTAAAGAAAGGCCAATGGATCGAAGATCTGTCTGTAGAATCCAAAGCGATTCTGTATCTTTCTTTAAAGCCCTTTCCACACGTTGCAGAACAAGGAGACCACTCACTCCAGGGACGGTGTGGACAGTCGATATCGGGCTGAAATAAACTTACGATAGAAACAAATATCGTGATAAAATTAGTTCCGATGACAGATAATCGTAATGTCCTTTAAAGTTGAGACATTGATCTAAGTGGAGCCCTAAAAACTTAGTGCTTTTATCACTCTGCAGTGCTGAACCGTTTAGAACAAGCTGAATCGCTGGTATCGACTTCTGAACGTTATGGAACCTTATAACTGTAGTCTTCTAGCTATTAACAAGTAATTGATTTTCTTCAAACCAGCTATTGATGTTGTACACTAAGGTGTTACATTTATTTATTAAATCAGCCTCGTCTTTGATATAATGATGGAGGCATCGTCTCCTTACAACGTGTAATGTGCTTCAAGGAAACATTGCTCCATGTTATTTATATAAAGGGAAAACAACACTGGCCCCAATATAGATCCTTGTGGTACGCCTATATTCATGTTAACCATACCCGATTTGACCTGGTTCAGTTGACCAGCGTTGTTGTGCCACGTATTGTGACCTATTCTGTAAGTACGATTTTATCTACAGATAGGCTGAACCACCAATTCCATAGTCTGTTAGTTTGGCTAATTGTATTTCAATGACTGACACAGTGGAACGCTCTACTGGGGTCACAAAATATCCCAACAGGGGATTCTCCTGCCTCAATATAGTTGACTAACCTGTTGATAAATGAAAGACATGCGGTCATGGTTGATTTTCCAATACGGAAACCATGTTGATTGGATGATAGAGTGTCATTGCTTTCCAAGAACAGCAGGACTCGATATAAAAAACAATACTCAAGAATCTTGGAAAAACAGCATGGAACAGTCACCGGTCTGTATTTGCTGACCAAAGAAGTATATCCTTTCTTATGAATTGGAGTTACTTTTCCTGTTTTTAGGTTGTTTGGAAATACACCAGTGCAGAATGATAAATTAACCAGAAAAACAAAAGGTTTGGTTATGTACAATAAAATTTTCTTGACTAAGAAATTCGGAACTTCATCGGTGCCTGTAGAACGCTTGTTTTTTAATTTGTCATTAATTAGTTTATTGAATTCTTCTTCCAAGAACGGGTATAAAAACATAAAAGATTTTTGGTCGCAGGTATGATCACTTAGAACTGGATTTGTGTCCTTAGATATTTTTTGAATAATATCCAAAGGAGCCTGTTTAAAATAGTTGTTAAAATAATTAGAAATCTCTTCCGTTTATGTCAGAAACCACATTCCATCACGTTGTGCGAATTGGATATTTTTTGTTGATAATATGCCTTTTTTGTTTTTCTGACAAGCTTCTGATGTTGTCTTTTTGCATCTAGATAATGTTGTCTGTGACATAAGTTCGGCTTCTGGGTCACGGCACAGACGCGGCCGGATGACCGACCATGTCGTTTGTATCGTGGCAGAGAGTTCTGTGCGATATTACAGATATACTATAATTAAAACTGACAGCTTTGCTGCGGTTTATACAAAATTTTGATACTTCTGGCCAGTTTTTTTGAGTCCACGTCTATGCATCTCCATGTCGACACAGACGTGGTTCAATGAGTATTTCCTCTCCAGTCACAACATCATCACGATAACAATATTCACATTATCTCGAAATAAAAGCAATAATCATACCTATCCCCGTTCTGGTTTACACCAATTAGGTTATTTATTCATCAGAATAAGCTCATACACTAATGTTAATTTTCATCCTTTCTACCACAATAATTAAATATCAAAATGATGTTCACAACAGTACAATGATATTTCCGGAAGAGACAATTTTATCGCCCTGTTGATTACCCTGCACCTTCTAATTTTTCTGTGTTGACACAGGTAAACATAGGTACAATACAGTATTTGTAAGTCGTTGGTCTGACTCATTTTTCACCCAGGCTTGTGGTAGCGATGGTAGCTGGAGTCACGTGACGTGATCTCTCTGTTTCACGATTTAACAAGATAATTCTCCAAATAAGAAAACTGTCATTTTTTAAGATATCCAAACATTTTTTTACAGTGATGACTTAGACTATCCTTTTAAGTGTCTTTCAAAAAATAGGAAACTTCTTCATTCATATTATCATTTTGTAGGAGAACGAGATTTGGAAAAAGTTGGAATACCTTGCTGTCGGTAGCATTTTGAATCACCAATTTCGCACAGTCTAAGCAGATGTTTTAACCACTCAGCAACGGTAACCTACCAAGCGTCTAGTGATGATACAATATCTTCCTTACTATGGCTAATATGTTGAAGATTAACAGCGATCATTACAGAATATGTTGCATGTTCACCACATGAACATTGCAAATAGTTGAATTCCTACCTCTTCTTCATAATCGTCACATATTTCTTCTCCCCAGCATTCTAGGTTTTGCTGCAGTAAGGGTGGATTGGTTTTAAAAGCCGAACACGTTTTAGCAGCAAGTCTATTCTTGTATTTTCTGTCTCTAGTCCGTACCCCTTTGCCACAAGTCACGCTGCAACTGGACCATTCTGACCAAGGACCCAGTTCACACATTGGATCTTCAGTTACTCTTACAGGTGGTGGTGGACAATACCTTCAGTGCAACAATTCATTATTATTTTAATAAACCAAACGAAAAAAGTATTGTCAAAATATAAATATGTTTTCTATACGATGTTTCAGATGAGCGCATCCGTAACGGTGAGTATGTTTGAATAAAGAAAATTAGAAGCATACCGGCCATCATGAGCAGTCGGCGCATAGGCCACATGGGGGACCTTATTCATTACGACATTCCTAAGTCTCTAGCTCCGCCATTCTAGCAAAGTTGAGTATAGCGCTTGAGTTCCAGCTCTTAACATTCTGGGGACCCCTGTACAGTCTGTTTGTAGTAGATCAGAGTCTTACAACGACACAACATGCGCCGAGGACTCTTCTTCTACCTCGCAGCGCGAACCGTGTGACGTGTCATGGTGTTATGGCCTGACAACAGTCGCACCAACAACCTTAGGTTAGCTCTATTCAAAGATAAGCAAATGCATCCATCCTTAACACTGGAGCCTACGATGTGCTATCGTGCCTGACGGAGATTTCTAGAGATGCTTCTCCATTTCAGAGAGTGTTGTCTAGTAATCCAGTGCTCCATTGTCCTCCTGACTCTTTGCGCGGGTACCCCTAGGACTGGCTCAAGACCAACAAGTCGACTGATGGGGCATGAAGCAGCTTGAAAGAATAGGGGAGCAGTGGCGTGGATAGGATTGAATTTGCTTCTAATAGTCGATCCTGAAAGTTGGTTGATAGCTGGTGTTGTAGACTTTGGTTAAGTCGCCTCCGTGGAATGGAGGAGATGTGGGTTCGAATCCCGCCGGTGTCGATTTTTCCTTTCTCTCAAAAATTGTTGCTCACTAAATACATTTTTTGATATTAAATGGTTCCATACCTTTCCACTGCTTCACAGCTCGCTCTTTCCGTGAGTTTTCTGTGGCAAACGTATTTACTTTCCTCATTCTTGTATCGCCTTTGCTTGTACTTCATTCCTTTCCCACATGTCGCCGAGCATGGTGACCAATCTGACCTGCGAAATACGCGACATGTAATGGCAAAAGGACATGGAGTGATCAATATATTCGATTAGATCTTAATGTTGCCCTTTAATTGGATTATTGAAATCGTTAAAGAACAAGTTTCAATTAAGTTAACATTTTCACTTCTCACATATATCAGGGGAATTTATTGTAGTAGCAAATATATACAGGGTGTAAAGTTAGTAGTAGATCAACGGAAGTCAGGTGATAGAACGCCTCAAAACCTATCGAATGAACCCCTATACGTGTGGTCCGAAATTTTATAGTTCAGGAGATATTTGAAATTTTGTGAAATTTCGAAAAAAATGGGATAATGGACTTTCAATCGCAATTACAACTAAACCATTAGGTTTAGGGGTGTAATTTTTTTGAGATGAGCTTAATGGTTAGTTTTAGCAATGGTCACTTGTTAACAGAGCTAATTAAAAACCAACGCAAAAAATCTTAAATTCATTTTTTTCTGAAAAATCACTTCCATCCCTCAACTTTGTTCATTCTATTGTAAAAACTATTTCAAGCTATGTAGAATAACTCCTGAAAATTTCAGCTTGCTACGATAAGTGTCTCATCTTAAAAAATCTGTATGTTTGACGCAGGTGGGTATCTATAGATGCAAACAAGACATTCTATTTTAAGAGCTACAGTCCAAACGACAAGATGGATTTTGACATAATATACCGTTAGATTCGTCCTAGCAGTGCGAGTGATACTGTGTGTATTAACATTTTGTAAAATCAAAATGACGGATTTTTTACGTAAGTAGCCAAATCAGCTTAATGAGCGGAATTTGTATCTAACGTTTGGCATCTGAGTAGAATCATGTCATATTCTCCGCGAGATTATGTAGACATGCATTACTATTATGGTGCTGCCTTAGGAAATGCTCGAGCAGCTGCTCGCATGTATCGGGAGTATGTGGTTAGAAGAGGTGGACCACAACCGGCGGTATATCCCGACTACCGCGTTTTTATTCGCGTCCATAATGCATATATGGAGGGCCGCATACTAGGTACTCATCGTCAGCTAGGAGCGCCGAGGATACGCCCAGAAGAAATAGCTGTAGAAGATATAATTGAATAGAATAGCGTGTATTCGCCGGCACAGCTTTCAACGTCAGTTCGGCGTTAATTTATGGGCTGGAGTACTCAACAAAAAATTAATTGGAGCATATGAATTGCCCGCCAGGTTGAATGGTCAGTCATATTTTGCTTTTCTACGAAGCAGTTTGCATGAGCTGCAATAGGATGTTACTTGGACAGTGTCTTTCCTGGGCGTTGGATAGGTAGAGGTGGACACATACGATGGCCTCTACGGTCACTTGATTTAAATCCTCTAGAATTTTTTATATGGGGGCTTTATAAGGGGATAATATATACATCTGAATATACAAATGCCAACCAACTGCGCCAGGAAATTGATAAAGCAAAAATAAAAATTATGGAAAACGCAAATTCATTTCAAAGACTAAAGGACAATTTTATTAGAAAGTGTCACTTGTGTATAGAAAATAATAGAGGCCATTTCTAAAATGTTGTTTGAAAGTTTGTTAAATTAAATTATCTTCCACATTTGTCGGTAAATCGCCATAAATAGCGGCTAAGCACAATAGGTTCTGTACTTGTAGGTGGTAAGGATTCTATTGCGTTTCTATCGCATCAGAACAACGAATCTGACATGATACTCATCGTAGCAAGCAGTTTTCAGGGTTTATTCTACATGGATTGAAATAGTTTCTACAATAAAACGAATAATGAAATACAACATCAATTTTTATTACCGCCCTCCAAAGATGAGGAATGGAAGAGATTTTTCACAAAAAATATAATTTAAGATTTTTTGCGTTGATTTCTAATAAGATCTGTTGACATAACTATTGCTAAAACTAACCATTTAGCTCATCTAAAAAAAAATCACAGCCCTAAACCTAATGGTTTAGTTGTAATTGCAATTGAAAGTTCATTATCCTGTTTTGTTTGAAATTTCGCAAAATTGAAAATATGGAACTATAAAATTTCGGCCCACACATATAGGAGTTCATTCGATTGATTTTGAGGCTCTCTATCACCTGACTTTCGTAGATCCACTACTAACTTTACACCCTGTGTATGTATATACAGGGTTATCCAAATTAAGTGTCCACCATTAGTAACTTTGTTATTAGTGAAAATACAAAGTTGTTTGAATTAGCAAACTAGTAGCATTTTTAACGCTGGTAAAAATGAGAAATAAAAAAAAACAATTGAGAGTCGTTATTTTGATTTTTTTCAGTAAAATAACATTTTTTTAAATGGAAACCCCTGTATATTATATTTTTTTCTGTTGAAGCATCAAATTTTAAACAAAAAAGTTCATAATGACTTTTCCGCTAAAGTCAAAAATAAAGTCAAAATAACGATAAATATTTTTAATTATTTGCAGTATTATAATATTAAGACGGCTATGAAAACAACATGGCGTTCGCGATTTGACAGCATTAAGATAAGCGACAAATTGTTAAACTGGACATACTCGCAACTAGAAGGCTTTGGAAAACAATGATAAAATCAAATAATGTCAAACATTAGTGTAAATACTTGTTTATAAGCTTTATTGTGTCATTAATTTAAAGAAAAATGTTCTCCCATGAAGAAAAGTGTGATATGTTAGAATGCTATTTAGTGTGCAGAAAATCCTCCTTGAGAGCAAGAGAATACTACAGTGAATTATATCCCGCTCGCATTCAACCGTATGAACGATATTTTCTGAGACTTTATCGAAAATTTAGGGGCAACGAAAATGTTTTTGCTAAAACAAGGGCAAAAAAAGAATTCATAATAAGCGAGGCCACGGAAATTGCAGTTATTGGATATTTTGAAGCTTATCGTGAGAATTCAATAGCAGATATTCTCAAGGACTCTAATTTCAGTTATGGTACTGTTCAAAGGATTTTAAAAAAATACAAATTTATTCCGTATAAGTACCGACCAGTTCAAACGCTTTTGGCAGGGGATCCAGAGAGAAGACTTGTTTTTTGCCATTGGTATCTTAGCTTCTGTCGCCAAAATGTAAATAACTTTCGTTACCTTTTATGGACAGATGAATCAAATTTTTCAAATTCTGGAATGTTTAATAGAAAAAAACACCATTATTGGTCAAGAGAAAATCTTTTGTTAGTACATCCAAGAGGCCCACAAGTCCGTTTCAGTTTCAATGTTTGGTGCGGTATAATTGGTTCAAAAATTGTTGGCCCGTTCTTTTATGAGGGAACCCTAACTGGTGAAAGATATGTGGAATTTATGTCAGAAATTCTGACTAATTTCTTAGACGAATTGGATCTTATAAGTTATAAGTAGACATCATCTGCATTTTCAGCAAGATGGCGCACCTGCCCACAACTCCAGAGGTACTTATCATTTTCTAAGTACTACTTTTAATGATCAGTGGATAGGAACAAATGGCCCAATACAGTGGCCTCCCAGATCACCAGATCTAAACCCACTTGATTACTTCTTGTGGGGTTACTTAAAGAACCAAATTTACAAGCGAAGGTACGATAACCTTGACGCGTTAAAGACTGCAGTTAGGGAAAAGATAACCCAGATAGATGGTAGGACCATACTTAAGACAGTTCGAGCAGTTGAAAAACGTGCCCAAAAATGTATTGAAGAACAAGGTGGTGTTTTCGAGCATCATCTTTAAAAAAAATTGTTATTGTATTTTGTAAGATTATAAGTTGATGTTGAAAATAAAGTTTGTCGATACAATTTAATTGTTTCAGATTGGAAGCCATAACTTCAACAATTTGTAACCTAGGAGAAAAGTTATTGTGAGCTTTTTTGTTTAAAATTTGATGCTTTAACAGAAAAAAATATAATATACAGGGGTTTCCATTTAAAAAAATGTTATTTTACTGAAAAAAATCAAAATAACGACTCTCAATTGTTTTTTTTTATTTCTCATTTTTACCAGCGTTAAAAATGCTACTAGTTTGCTAATTCAAACAACTTTGTATTTTCACTAATAACAAAGTTACTAATGGTGGACACTTAATTTGGATAACCCTGTATATATATATATATATGAATTTAATTCATTCTTGCGCATTCTTACACTGCAAGAATGGCTCTTAACTTAATCTCTACGCAGCATCCCTGTAGGTACACTTCAGTTCTGGAAGGTATAATGGGTTCGAAAAGTTACCGGCTTTATTAGCTTTCTCAAGCTCAATCTTGACAGCTTTAGAAGTGAAAATATTTTTGAGGAACCTTAGAATGTGCACTGAAGCCCAAAGACCTAGAACTAATCAAGCTTGATCAAAACTTTCTGTTGAAAATTGGATGTTTCCTTATTTTTCTCCACCTCAAAATGCAGCTCATTTTTCCAGATTTGAAGCTATCCGTGAGTGCTATTCACATAATTCCTTTTTTTGTTTGATTGACGGAAATGCGAAATGAATCTACTTGACTCCATTATTTTATATCCTGTTTTTATTCCAACATTTCATCTAAAGATGACTCTTATTTGATGGTATAAGATATACACCTGTATGTACCTACATATTCAGTTCTTCTAGCCTCGTTCAACATGATATATTGAGGCCAAAACGACGAAATGAATATGAAATATTTTACCATCAGATGCAGTCTTAACATTAGGATTCAATGCAATGCTTCAACTCATAGAACATTTTTTTTGACAAAAGGCTTTGAAAAACTGAAGTTGGTACAAAAGTAAAGAAAATATTTCGTATCACATGACCTCTCGCTGTGAAGATAAAAGTTTCCATGCGAGTATTTTACTTGTATCTTGCAATCGTCAGCTTAAAGTAGTAAAAAGTACACAACGATAACACAGATTATTACTTTTTGTAAGTTTTGAGAGAGTTCAAGTAAGTATTTTTGAGTGCTCGGCAAGTATTTAAAGTGTCTAAAGGCAATTGTTGATTGAGTCATTTTGCGTTACAATTCTTGAGTAGCTGTCTATGTCACTAACATCTTTTTAGACATTTGTCACAATTTTGTTCATCTTGAGACTCTGATCTTTCAAATAACATAATTATATCTGTGGATCTGCACGTCTATCTCTTACATCTTTAATTTGTACTTTTGCAATTCAGGAATCCTTTTATACGTTTTGCTGCTGTACTTTTGATAAGTCAGCGAGCGCAATTTAGGAGAAATGTCACAGAACCTTTGAATGTCTGAATGAGAAATACCGATAGCTGAAATTAAAATGTCACAGCAGATGAATAACTACAGACACTACATAGATGATACAGAGTGAACAGCATTATAGTCAAGGTGAGTCAAAGTCAATTATAGGGTAGGAATAATAAATATTTGGCTTTTCCCATAATCCTGGACCCTGAACTGTACCCCATTGATATATATGGGGTTGAATAACTAAATTGAAAAAAAATCGACAGAAGTATCAAATGAAACTTTTATACATGCAGTATGAACAGCATAAACAGATCTCATAAAAAATGCTTGTCTCAAACAAAATCAGAGGCATAGAAGCTTAAATCCTTCAAAATATCTCCCTGAAAAAGGTGTTGAATTTAACATTAATTCCTTTTTGAGCTATATTTTGATCATTTCGTTTGTAGAAAATACGTTTGATGTTCTGCTACGCTGTGAGTTTTATTGTTGTTTTGAGCCTTACCATTCCGTAGTCTCGCAGTTTGAAGCTGCGTTATCTGAGTCGTCTGATCCAGACGCGTCGCATGATTTCTCATACAGCCGCTGTCTAGAAAGTATGAGCCTGGCCAACGGCTTCATAGGCGTTCCTGTGGGATCGAAAAAGGGAGATCGCGGGTCGCTGGGGTAATTGGTGCGTAGACGGCGGATCGGTTGTCTAGGATTGGAGGGCTGGTTTGGAGACTGTAAAAATATTTTGCAATTTACGCTTTATTCTCTAAGCGTTTTACTACCTACCAGTGATGGGCGTTTACGCATATACATTAATTGTCTACGTCTCGTTGTATACAATGCGTATACAATGAATACAATGTATACGTTGCGTATATAATGAATACAATGTATACAATGATGCAGATAATGTATATAGAATAGCATAAGTGAGGTTAGGCGTATTCGCAAACGTCAGAAAGTTGGTAAACAGTAAACCGACAACTTTAAAAAAATATGGTTGGATGCTCCAAGAACAAAGAAATCGATGAGCTAGGGTTCATTTGTTGTTCTTAATTTATTTAAAACTGTATCTTTGTATACGTATATAAATATTATATACGTTTTCATTATTTATAAACTGCTTCCACAGTCAAACCAATAATGCATTTGATCCCAAACAGATTCGACGGAAATGTGTATTTGAGCGTAGAAAACAAGGCGATGCATCAAGTTAAAGTTGTGTTTTGTGCCCTTTATCACTGTTGTTTGGCGCACTCTTTCTACACAAGTGGTGCCCGCTTGTCCTCTTCTCTCTCTTCCTCGTACACTATATGCAAGTAGTTGAAATATTATTTACTATTGTATACATTATATACATTTTATACATTGTATACGTAAATATCTAGACGTATATATTCACCATTGTATTCGTGTATACAATGGTGTATACAATGCATCCATCACTGCTACCTAATTAATAAGAAAAACCCATGAGGGTGAGTTGCCTCATTCCTCAGCTGAGTAGGGAAGGATTTGCATACGCACTCTGTAATCAAATCACAATCTAGCGGAATATAATTCACTTTGATATGAACCCATAAAGGACATAGAACATGACCCTCGGTCAAAGTGTCTGAATTTTTAGTACCTTGTTCTCCATACCGATCTAACCAAAGTTCTTCATGCACTGTGGCCTTAAAACCAAGGGTTTTCGAGTTACTGGATGTTAGCTGAATTAATTCGAAAGATAAGGGCTTACGACAGATTTAAATATGATTTTATGATCTCTTTGGTCAATAATTAGGAACTTGTTAGCTCCTATAATGCAAATTTGACCCATTTACTGGATATATGCTGATTTTCAGACACATTGTTTGATGTTATCAAATCATTATAATTGTAATGGAAAATACCCGATTACGCCAAAGTTATTAAAAACCTTATCCGAACTTGGATAGTTCCTATGTCGCCACTAATGGGGCGCAGTGAAGTCTAATCTATAATCCTAGTTTCTTGGGTTCTTCCAAGTACGCCATCGATCCCTTATAAATTAGATAATATCTCGTTATCCAATAACACAAAATGCATTCTTATTTCAACCACTAACGTATATTTTTGGTAGAAAATGTTTCTATTCTTTTTTTGTTGGAAAGTAAGAAGCAATCAAAAAATTAATAAAGCCCTATAGAAAGACTGATTGATTCAAACCTAACAAAAATCAGTTCAACCCTTCTACAGAGCATTTGCCATTGACAAATTCTCGTTAAAATTAACTTAGCAGTTTTCAAGATATTTGGGGAAAATAAATTTCTGGGAACATTTAAGACATACTGCACTTTAAAAACGAAACATTTGTCGACATGCCTCCATATAGTTTTTCTCAAAATTAAATTAACAATCTTCCTGGAGGATAGATAGAAAGCAGTTGAACCGAAAAGTGCACTGAAAAAAATCCGAATCATTAGTCTCTGGTATATTCCCATGTAATATGCTTTGTTAAAATATCATGTTTGTGTTCAATGTACTTGATTTATTTATCCGATATCGGACTAAAAATATCTGAAAATCAATATCTCCTACAGCGTATATATCAGAGTGGGTAGCCAATTGGAGGAGTATTTTTCTATTTAAAAAGACATATCTGAGAACTTATCGCTTATTGTCACTTCAAACTCTCCTTATACGAGTTTTTTTCTATTGCAAGTAATATGTGAACAAAATTACTCCTAGAGGTCAATTCTTGAGCGGAAATACAATGCCGCCTGGGAAATGATTCCAAATTCTGCTAGCTGTTGACATTTTTTGTCAAACAAGTTTGTGGATGGCTCTATTTTCAGCAAAATAAACTTTACTCCCTCGTTTCAAGAATCAAGCCTCTGGAGTACATTTACACTTTGTCACGTTTTTGTATCAACAGCTCACCATGTATGTGATTCCATCATCGGTGCCAACATCCCAAGGGTACAAATTGAGCACTCTGGACTCTGTCCATGTGCAGTTTCTCAAACACAGCTCCAAATTGGACACGCCGACCACCCAGTCGGGTGATGGGTCAATCATAGACACTATCGACATCAGATGATGGCGGTTGTCCACTCTGAATACGGCGAATGTCTTTCCTGTGATGTTTGGGTAGCTGATACCACGGGCTTTGATGATGGTGCGGATGTGATCACTCTGAAAAAAAAAGATACATAGACATCATCCGTATGTACTGGGAAATACTCAATGTTGGGACACATTATACATTAATTCAGCTTCAGGAATTGAAAAAAAAAACATTCTCCAGCCCCTTGATACTCCGTGCCATCGTAAAACGGTCCTTAAGGAATGAATTCTCTAATGACTAAAGTAGCAACCCTAAAAGTTTCTTAAAAAGAATGCGTCTTCGGTATCAAAAAGATACAAAACTGGCAACAACGAGCCCCAAAATCTGACCACAATGCGGATTCAAGAAATGATGATTGAAGAAATAGGCGTAATTCTCCAGTACAAGTGTTACGTTACTAACATGCTGGAGCTGAATTGTAACACGTATTCCCCAGTTTTTCGGCTACAAACTGATCCCTGAAGAGTCTCATGCTCCCTTTTAGTTGTTTCTATTGACGACCGCCATTTTTAATTTGGTATAGTATACCCTTTGGAAAAAACTCAGTCATACTCAAATCATTTAGAATAGCATGTTCCCAGCTTTTCATATTAGTTAATACGTTCAGTTGTACCAGCTGCTACGGCTAGCCTTGCATGAAGTATGGCTTACAAAAAATAGATTATTCCACCAAAGCGTTTATTTTCCTTGTTCTTTAAATATTTTTTCAATTTGAAGTGAGAAATTATTATCTTTTTTTTTAATCAAAGTAAGACAATTCTGTTTGATTATCAACAACATCTTCTCTACAAAATAGGCACCAGCCAAGAACGTTCCTGAAATGTAGAATAGCTATAATGGAACTTGATGAAAGACAAACATGATTTCTTATTATTAATATTTCGCGGATACTAAATTGACGGGAACGTTTTTTTCCTGGCACGACCCATATTCTCGTTAAGTAATCCTTTTCACACGTTCTCACGAAATCACTTGTTCACTATTAATTTCCTCCAACGTTTTTAAAGTCTAAAAGTCAATTTAACGTGTATTACTTTATTCAATATTTAGATGAATTATAATACAGGGTGGTTCAAAACCGAGGATGAAAATTAAATTCTGTCTGTTTTTATAATTGTATCGTAATTATTAAAAATAAGAATAATTCCGTATTAGGTTATCTACTTCTCAAATTAGTTTTTTCCAAGTTATTTTGAAAAATCTGTCTTCATATTCCTCAAATAATCTGCTACACGGCTTTTACGTCCAGTTAAGTTTCAGTTAGCTATAGTGACCTGAGGTAAATGACTAAGGAATTGTCACGGTCATGCCTCCATTTTTATATCCACACTTTTAAACTTTCTAAACCTTTGTCATTCTCCCTTCAGAAAGAAACTGCTGAAACGGTATGTAAAAGATATTCAAATACAATTTCGTAGTCTTTGTGTGTCCTTAAAGTTGAGACTTTCTTTTACATGGCATATAGATCTTGAAAAAATAAGCAGTATTTTCTAGTAACATATACACCAAAGTCTTAAGATTACTGAAATGTTATGATCTGCAAAATCAAACTTAAACAAAACCAAATCCGGTCCTGCACCTCGAGCAAATCAAACATCAACACGTACTTTGCACATCAGCACTCAATCTAGGCGCTGGCCCTCTTAGTAAACAAATCCTTTACACATCGGTTCTAGCAAAAACTAAAATGGCACACCCATTCAGCAATATCGGATCGATATTATTTTAATTTACGGTGAGTGTCGCAGAAATACTAAGGAGGCTTCGCCGGTGAATGCAGTTCGTTTTTAAAGATCCTTGCTGACGTCTTCTTTTGTTTTGGGCAAAATGAAATGTTTAGTGTATAAAACTGAGGTGAACACGGTTGACGAACTAGGCATGCGAATTTAGCAGTATCTGCTGCATTCATTCGGTAAATGGCAGTCTCATTTAGAAGCCTAGCTTGATGCTTCGTCGAGCACTTACATGTGACTTTGAATCTATCGCAGGCAACTTTGAACAATACTTACAAGTGACAGACCTGTACTTGATGATCGGTGAGTAGTTTTTCATTTATTTTTTTCACACTTCCGCTGATGTTTCACTATACATTAGGTTTGTTATTTCAAAGGTAGTTGTTTCTAAAAAGTCCCAACCTTCAGGACACCCTACGTATACAGGGTTTAAACTTAGTAGTGGATCAACGGAAGTAATAAGTAGAGGGCTTCAAAAGCTATCGAATGAACTCCTTTATGTGTGGTCCGAAATTTGATAGCTCAGGAGATATTTGCAATTTTGTGAAATTTCGAAAAAAAAGGGGATAATGAGCTTTCAATCGCAACTACAACTAAACCATTAGATTTAGGGCTGTGTTTTTTTCTGATATGAGCTAGACGATTAGTTTTAGCAATGTTTATGTCACTTTTTAACAGAGCTTATTAAAAATCAAGGCGGAAAATCTTAATTTTTTTTTTAAAAATCTCTTCCATCCCTCAACATTGGAGGGCAATAAGAAAATTGAGGTTGTATTTAATTATTCATTTTATTGTAAAAACTATTTCCATCCATGTAGAATAAACCCTGACAATTTCAGCTTGGTAAGATGAGTGTATCATATCGCATTCATCATTGTTGTGATGCGATAAACGTAAGAAACGCAATAGAACCCTTACCACCTACAAGTACAGAACCTATTGTGTTTAGCCGCTCTTTATGGCGATTTACCGACAAATGTGGAAGATAATTTGATTTAACTAACTTTTAAAGAAATGGCCTCCATTATCTTCTATACACAAGCGACACCTTCTAATAAAATCTAATCTTTGAAATTAATTTGCGTTTTCCATAATTTTTATTTTTGCTTCATCAATTTTTGACATTTGTATATTCAGATGTATATACAGGGTGGCGCATCGAAAACGAACCGGACGCATTTACAGGCCGCTCAGTTTTTTTTTTTGGAGGGGGACACAAGTTTGGCAAAAAATCACGTTAGCACGTGCACCCCCCTAAATGGAAAGGGGGGTCGAGTGATACTTTATTTTAAAGGTCTTTCAATTTCCTTTAGAATGATATAAAATTAATGTAATACAGTTCAGTAGTTTTGAAGATTTATTGATTTAAAGCTGAAATAAAACTAATACATCATCATTAGTGGAGATCAATACATTTGGCAGCAAAGTAATTTAAAAATGAAGAATGAATTGACTCGTTAGGCAAGTAGATGTTGAAAATGGCCACCATGACTCTCCATGCAAAAATAACGATTTTGCTCAAAACGTTGCCGCACATTTTGCAATATTTGAGGAGTAATTTGAAGGCACTCATTCACAATTCTTTGTCGCAGGTCTTCTAATGATGTTGGCTGAATAGCACAGATTTTGCTTTTTAAATGACCCCACATAAAGAAATCCAAAGGTGATAAATCTGTCGATCTTGGGGGCCATTCAATGGCACCTCTTCTACCGATCCAACTGGAAACGTCTAATCTAAATATTGTCGAACATGTGATGCGTAATGTGGTGGGGCACCATCCTATTGGAACATCAACCTATTCGCAATGTACCGCCGATTATTCTGATTTTCAATTATGGCTATTAGTGCAGAATCTATGGCGTCTTCCAGTAATTCCAAATACATTTCACCGGTCAAATTTCCAGGTAAGAAAAAAGGACCAACTAAATGGTCGCCAAAAATACCAGCCCAAACATTTAATTTTTGTGGCTGCTGTGTATGAACCTCACGATAATTCTGGGAGTAGATTGGGACCAGTATCGGCAGTTATGACGATTTACTACGCCATTTAAGAAAAAGGAACATTCGTCGGAAAAACAAGTGTTGAATAGAAAATGTTCATTGTTTATAATTCGTTCACTCATGTCTTCACAAAATGGTAATCGCCGATCAAAATCGTCTTCCATAAGTTCTTGTACCAGGTGAATTTTATACGGATGAAAACTATGGGCCTTTAGAATCCGTTGGAAAGTACGTCGCCTAACACCACACACAGTCTCCAATTTGCGGGTACTTAACGTAGGATCTACATAAACATGGCCTAAAACCCCCACTTCTATTGCTTCGTTCCTTATGGGATTTTCAATGTTGCGTTTTTTATTGGCGACTGACCCAGTTTCCCGAAATTTAGCTACAAGTTCTAGAACATATTTTCGATGCACGTTACTGTTCTCATGTCGCTCATTATACTTCTCCTATTCTATTAGCGCACTGATTATGTCCGAAAAATATTTAGATAATTTCAACTCTTTCTGCTGTGGAATATACCATGGTTAATTTATGTAATAAAGCATTGCAAGTTATTTTAGCAACAAAGTTTGGTCAAATCAATCGCAAACTATGTACTAAATTCCTATTTAAAATAAGTGCGAGATATTTCCTTATCTTTCTTCAAGAAATAACTTTTTTCCACAAAAAAATGCTCCAATTGCTATTTTCAACAACAAAGTGGGCGTAGTGAAGAAAAGCATTTACTTATGAAGTAAATTCTTTTAGTCAAATTTCCTCTGAAAGTAGTACAAGCTAATCTGATGTACCTATTAAAGTCTACTGTAAGCTTTAAATCAATAAATCTTCAAAACTACTGAACTGAAGTACATTAATTTTATATCATTATAAGGGGAATTGAAAGACCTTTAAAATAAGGTATCCCTCGACCCCCCCCATCCATTTAAGGTTTTAGGGTTGGTGTCACCCCCGCCCAGTTGGCTGCACGTGTTGACGTGATTTTTTGCCAAACTTGTGTCCCCCTCGAAACCAAAATCGACGGGTCTGAGCGTTTTTCAAACAGAAAATGAGCTGCCAGTAAATGCGTCTGTTTCGTTTTCGATGCGCCACCCTGTATTATAACCCCCATATGAAATATACATGCGGCTTCGAACGCATCCTGTACCAGCTCATGCAAATGGCTTTGTAGAAAAGCAAGACATGATTGACCATTCAACCTGGCGGGCAATTCTTATGGTCCAATTAATTTTTTGTTGGGTACTCCAGCCCATAAATTAAGGCCGAACTGACGTTGAAAGCTGTGTCGGCGAATAGCGTGTGGATTTTTTATGCTCCATGAATGGAAATTGT